GCGTCGCAGGATGTTTCCATGCTTATTGGGTCTGATGGGATAATTATTATTTCTCTCGAACTGATCTGGGAAATGCTGGTTTCCGAGAGATGTATCAGGGTTCTGGAACATGTATTTTTTCCTGTCCTTATGAGGTTTGCGATACAGGGTTGTCGTTTATGAAGATGTTGTTGTAAACAGAAATACTGGTTTTCTATTCCTGGGCACTTCTCTGATGTTAGACAGAATTCTTTTGTGTTGAGTAACAGGTAGGGTTGTTCGGGTATAATTGTTTGGTTTTGGATGGGTACAGGATGTATTTGGAAATATTTGAAAAGGAAAGTACCGATAGGGGTGTGAATTCTAAATAATATCAATTTGTCTCGAATATTGACTTGTACTGAAAATAAGGAATAATAGTTCAATAATTTTTTGAGGTCGGGTGTTTGTTCTACACCGTAAATTTCGTTGAGTTTTTCTAACAGGGCTTTCAATTTATTTGGTTCGATTATTGAGCTATGTAAAATATTGATTCTTGCAAAAGAGATTGCAATTTCTAAGTTATTTATGATGTGTCGTAAGGAATGTAGTTGTATTGATAAAATGTCATTAATATTGGAAAAAGAATACGTGTTCTATGTTGACAAAATCCTTGATATCGTGTGACAACTGCCTTATTTGTCTTTCAAGAGTAATTTGGTTTTCATTTATTTTTCTGAAATTATTAATGTCTCAAGAGACTTTGTTGTTGCTTAATGTCATCATTTAACTTATTTTCGTTGTACTGCAAAATCTCTAAATATGATTCTATGGTTTTTTTGTCGTCAGAGTCCAAAGTACCAAAAAGCCATTTTTGCAATTTACGTATTCCATCAATGAGTCCTCTTTTTGATCTACGATTTTCTGACAGTGAATTTAGTTTGCTAATGATTATGTCCACTAAAGATATTACGTTTGATGCTTTGTCAGCAACAAATATGGAAAAGTGGTTGAATGATTGTTGTTTGTGAATAGTGTCGTTTAGTTTTGTAAGAGATTGTCGGATATGTGTTAATTTTAATTTGGGATCTGTAAGTTTGACATGGTAAAGGAAAGTGTGTTTCGAAGTAATGATTTTTGCTTGGCCTATGTGGACTGGTAGTGTGGGATTTTTAATTCCTTTTATTTTTAAGCCTTCTACTGCTCCTAGTCCGAGCAGGATTAGTACGATGTACATTCCGTCTACCTGAAATAACACATTGTGGTTTCAATATTTTCTTGTGATATGTTTTGGATTTGGATTTTATTTTGTTGTCACATATTTCGATTGGGTTTTCTATCTTCTCGTATTTGTTTTTCGTTTTTCTTTGGGAGGCGTCTCGTTTTTGGACTTTATAAAGGTTTACTTTGGTGTCAATATCTAATGTTTGTTGTCGATTTTCATTCGCTTTTTGTAATGTCTTTGATTGTTTCTCTTTTAGTTTGGCATGAATTATTTCGTTCAGGGTTTTCAAATTTTCTGTGTCATCTTGGACGTATTGTGAAATTTTTTCTTTTATGTTGGTTTCGAAGGGATTTTTATAGTCTAATCGCCCGCGAATGATTTGAAAAGGTGTGTGATCAGTGGAGCCGTGGATTGAGTTATTATAAGAGAGTGAGGCATGGTTCATAAGTACTCCTATACTTTCGTTGGGTTTGGTGTTTTTCAGGGTGAATATAGTTTGTTGAGTGGAAACATTCTACGGGACTGTTGCTATTTGGATTATAGAGTGTCGTGTAGTGGATTTCAATATGATGGAGGTTAAATAGTCCTTGTATAATTTCGTTTTTCCATTCATGTCCATTATCGGTTGTTATTCGTCTGGGTAACCCGAAGTGGCAAAAATATTGAATTAATTTATTGGCGATCTCGATTGCGGTTAATGATTTTATCGCATAGGCTTGTCCAAATTTTGAAAAGCTGTCTACTATAGTTACAAAGTATTGTTCGTGTGTTTTATATGTGTTGGCGTAGACGTGGTCGAAAGATTCATGACCCAATGGCGTGGGTTTGAATATGAGTTTTGTTGGGTGTCGTTCGTATTTTGTTTTTTGGCAAATATCACAAGAGTTAATGTAATCGGGTACATCTTGATCTAATTTTGGCCAGTAATACGACCTTTTGATGGCTTTTAGATTTTCTTGTATCCCGCGGTGGCTTGTTTAAGTTTCATGGTATTGTCGTATTTTCAACTTTTCTTTGTCCTCGTCGGTTAAATCGGTGAGGAAGGTGTTTGAAATACATAAGGTGAATGCGCCGTTTTTGAAAAATTCCTGAGTGATTGAAATAAAGGTGGGTTCAAGTCTTTTGTCTTTGAAGTGTAAACAGTAGATTTGTCTAGGTACAAAATGTTCTTTGATAATAGTAAGAATTAATTCTTTATTGTTTTCTTTTGGGATGGTTAAATGGAGTCTAGTTTTGTCGAAAATTTTCTCTCTAGTTGTTTTAAGCTCCTTATTTTCTGTGCTTGCTATGATGCTTTGATTTTTATAGGTATTTACACTCTTTTCTGTGTATGGAATAGTGATTATAGGGTTTTCGTGATTAGTGTGAACGGTTTTATTATCCGTTTCTTCGCGATTTTGTTCAGTAGCGACTTTTGAGGTGCTCGGTTGATTGTTATCGAGTATTTCGGGTTGGTTTTTCTTTTTAGATTTGTTAAGTGGTGCTTTGATTTGTATATTTTCTAAGACTGTGATCTTCGGTTTTTTTGTAGTAGTTTGAATTTGGTCGACCGGATTTGGTTTCGGCTCGGTATTATTGAGGATATCATAATTATGATTAGCTAACATTTCGTCTATATCTTGATCATTTGAGCTGGCGACATCAGATAATTCCGATGGGTTTACTATTAGTGATATTTCATCATCCTCGTGTGTTTCTATTGGGTTCATCTCGACGCACGAGAGTGCGTCGGCATTTGTATTCAACTTGCCTTTTTTGTATATAATTCCGTAATCGTATTCCTCTAGCTTTAATCTCCATCTTACTAATTCAGAATTAGGGTCTTTTAAGGAGAATAACCACTGGAGAGGTTTGTGGTCACTTATACTTTTGAATTTCACACCATAGAGGTACGGTCTAAAATATTTACAGGCCCAGACTATTGCAAGAAGTTCTTTTTCAATAGTACTGTAGTTGATTTCTGCCGGGTTAAGCGTACGAGAGGTATATGCGATGGGTAGATCTTGGCCAATGGGGCCTTGAGAGAGAACAGCGCCGATGGCATAATTAGAAGCATCGGTCGTTAAATTGAAGGGTTTTGAGAAATCCGGATATTGAAGTATAGGTTCATTTACCAATATCTTTTTGCAAGTATTGAAAGCGTGAATGAATTCTTGAGTCAATTTTGCAAAGTTTTTAATGAATTTCCTATAATAGCCTACAAGTCCGAGAAACGATTTAATTTCTCTTGAGGTCTTCGGAATAGGGAATTTCTCGATGGCTTCTATTTTTTTTTATTGGGTTTAATACCTTCTGGGGTTATGGCATGGCCTAAGAATTCCACAGATTTGCAAAGAAATTTACATTTATCTAGTTGAACTTTTAACCCAGCTTCTTTTAATTTGTCAAATGTTTGTTTCAGGTTGTTAATATGTTCCTGTAAAGATGTTGAGAACACTATTATGTCGTCCATATAGACGAGGCATATCTTATTCTGCAAATCTTTCAGAACACTATCCATCACTCTTTGGAATATCGCTGGAGCGTTTCTCAATCCAAAGGGCATTCTAACATATTCATAGTGTCCATGTTCGAAACTGAAGGCAGTTTTTGGGATAGAGTTTGGGTGCATCTCAATTTGATGAAACCCTGATGCCAAATCTAAAGTAGTAAAATATTGGCATCTTCTTAATTTGTCAAGAATATCTGAAATATTCGGTAAAGGGTATCTGTCGTCAATTGTTTTTTCATTTATCTTTCGGTAATCAACTACAATCCGCCATTTTTGTTTTCCGCTAGCATCTAGTTTTTTAGGAACGATCCAAATAGGAGAACTCCATGGGGGATTGTGAAGGTCTTATTATTTCGTCGTTGAGCATTTTCGATATTTGTGTTTGTACTTCATTTTTATGAACGTACGGAAATCGGGAATTTCGTCTCGAGATGGCCGCACCGCTAACAGACCTCATTGACAAGAGGAGGAAATTCTTGTGAAGCTCAGAAGCTCAGGATAGCTTCTAGACTATAAAACAAGCTGTCTCACAGCCGTTGGAGCTGACCCCAACCTCTCGTATGGCCTCCAAACTGACGCCAGTCATATTGGCATAGGCGCAGTACTTTTTCAGATGGACCCCCAAGGGGACACTAGGAGAATAATTGCTTATAGGAGCGCCAAGTTAAACGCCACCGAAAGGAAGTATCACATTAACGAACATGGACCTCGACACAGACGTGGAAAGAATGTTCTTTCCCCATAAAGAGTCAGAGGCACATAATGAAGTTGAAAACGAGATCTTGCTCCAGCTCGCGGATGAGCTGGGCGAGTTATTCAATGTGTGTGACTTGGTTTGTGCGGCAGCCTGTTACCCCGAGTCGTTGAACCAACTGCAGACTTGGTTCGAGGAGGTCGCTGAGCTGCAACGTACAAGCGATAGTGTGAGGCGGTTTAGGATACGGATCGAGAGGGCCCGAGCGAACCCTCATCCAACAGAATATGAGCAAAGAAAAGAAAAGAATACGACCTAACCAGGATGCCAAGAGATTGCTGGTCCCAAGGCGCTGTTGGGATAAGTTAATCAAGCGCTATCATGACCAGGCCGGTCATCCTGGGATAGAGGAAACACAAAACCAGATCAGTAGACATTTCTACTGGAGCAATATGCGGAAGCAGGTCTCAGCATATGTTAACACGGGCCTGACTTGTGCGACAACTAAGCGAAGTCCTCCTCAGGAAGCTGCCCCCTTGCGACCAAACTAATTTGACCGTCCCTGGCAGATGGTGTCGATTGATGTGCTTGGCCCTTACAGCCATACAGAAAAGGGTACCAGGTACATCATAATGGCTACAGATTGTTTCAGCAAGTGGGTAGAAGTCCACACGGCGGAGTCCGTGCAGTCGACCACATTGATAGAGTTTCTTGCACAGGAAATATGTTATCGATGGGGGTTTCCGGAGGTGGGGGTAACGGACAGTGCCGCGATGTTCTTAGGCAGGAACTGGGAGCAGTTCTGTCAAAAGAACGAAATCACAATACGAACTAGCCCGGGATACCACCAGCAGGCCAACCCTGTAGAAAGGCAGGTTCAAGAATTAAAGAAGATGTTGCGAGCTGCCTTGATAGGCAAAGACGAGTCGCACTGGGAGCGATGCCTCGCAGAAATCATATTCAATTTATGAACCCGAACCAATGTTGCTTCCAACGTCACCCCTTGCCAGCTCTTGCTGGGCTACGAGCTACCTCGGCCTGGCGATTGGGACACTCCTCTACAGAGAAAGCGAAGGCCTCATAATGAGAATCGTGCCCAACGCATAGAGGAAGCCCATCAGAGTTCCAGCACATATCGCAACAAGTCTTCCTGACAAAAACAAGGCACCGGCCGTCATTTTCACACCAGGCCAGTAGGTGTTGTGCAGGAATCACAACAGGAGAGCCCGTAAGAATTTCGGCCCAACTTGGACAACCCCTTGTCAAGTCCAGAGGCAGCTCGGTCCCAGCACCTACGTCGTAAATAAAGGTGATATAGATCGGGTCATCCACGTGAAGGTCAAGAGCACCTTAACCCGCGTTCGGTGAATTTAGATTAAGTAGCTTAGAATTAATATAGATAAGATCTCTCATGTAATAATTTGGTTGCCAGTGGAGCCTGAAAGGAGAGACAGGCAAGGAAACTAAGTACCATATTTTGTCTAATATAGTTAGGAATTAGTTAAAGGGGATAAAATATTGTAGCTCTAGCGGATAAGGACCTATTGTGAGATTTGCCTAACAAAAAGCACTTCCTGGTCTCGGTTTAAAGAAACTGCAAGCGACTTCTTAAGGCGGGGGTGTTACCAACAACCAATATATAGTACAGAAATGAACCAATTAGGATAGAACAAAGAATGAATAGCAGGTGGGCGGAGCTTACGCGCGCGTGCGCCACCGAAGAATAAATATAGAGCATTTCGCATGCCGCAGCAGCAAGAGTCTGGCTCTGACCATAGTAGAGCGCGCTTCAAGAAAACGTTGTTGACAAAGTAAATGATAGTAGAAATATTGGAAGTTGGTTTTATAAAAATCTTTGAAATTGTAAAAGGAGTCTACGGCTGCGAGTTTCTTTATACTGAGACTAGGGAAGTAAAACAAATACCCCAAATTAATTCCCTAAGTGGATTCGTTATAAACAACTACTAGATTTGCCTTTTTCAAGACAAACAGTATTAATAGAAATTCCTAAGCAGAACTTTTGCGGGAGACTGGAAAAATATATTCCATTTCGACGAGGAGATTGCTACGATATAAAAACCAAATTTATAGTAATACGAGGAGCCTGCATTTATAACAAAAACTGAAATTATCAGTTCAAACCTGTCCTTTTCAGAACTTCACTAAAACGAATTCGATATCATAGAGGGACCAACTAGCCGGCCTCCTTCGACGTATTCGACCTACCCAGGCACAAATACATCTGTAGGAACGCCGACCCAGTACTACTACGGAGCAATTCACGTGAATTACTCCATTGCACTGTCGTCTGGGGGCGTTAAACCGTCCGTGTGCCTCCAGAGGCTGTACTCGTTTTCGGGGAGAGGAACGATAGGTAGGTCAAGTCTCGAGGAGTATGTGGAATTAGGGATAGGGATCGTAGGGAACCCTCTGGTCCGGACTAGCGCCATTGTGGTGGCCAGTTGTACTCCCGCGGCGCAACTAGAATAGCTAGAAGTAGGGACGTTAAAAATTCCACTCGAGCTCTTGTTTTTTTAAACATTTGGTGATGCCGAATGAACACCGTAAAACCGAGGTGTTGGAACCGACTTTCCTTTTGGAAGGAAATTCGATGGACAGATCACCTGGTGGTCTAGCACCCGCCAGCTCTGGTCTTGGTGCGGCAGGTGACCTGGGATTCGATGGTGTCTCGAGACTCCACGCCCAGCCGGGTGTCATCTTCAACCGACATCCCCAGGTACCATACTGGCGACATGACAATGTAAAAGCGGATGCTTTGTCGCGTTTGCCATTTCCCGATTGTGAGAATAGTGAGCCTGAAGAGGATTATTTGAATATGGTAGAAAGTTTATTGCCAATTGATTCTATAAAAATTCTATCAGAAACGAGAAAAGATACACTGTTGGGTGCAGTTTTTAATTATATAAGGTATGGTTTTCCTAATAAGGTTGAAAATGTGCCACTAGACCAAGTAGACCATGAGGGAATGTCAAAAATGAAAACTAATGCACGGTCATATTTTTGGTGGCCATCTTTAAACTCTGATAGTGAACAAGAACTATAAGATCTATTTTCAAGTTTGTCCAGATCCACCTAAAGCAAGACTTATTAAGAATCAGGTGTCAAATCATTTTTATGAGAAAATCCATTCTGATTTCTTGGGTCCCGTTCGAGGTAAAATGGTTTTAGTCATTGTTGACACTTTCACGAAATGGCCTGAAGTTTTTATAATGGATAATACTGATTCTAAGTCAACTGTTACCCGATTTAGAGAATGTTTTTCAAGATATGGATCACCGAAAATTGTTGAACCCGATTATGGACTGCAATATATATCAGAAAATTTTTGTAATTTCCTATCGCGAAATGGTGTGAAATTTGTTTCATCACCGCCTGTTCATGCAGCAACCAATGGGTTTGCGGAAAATTCGGTTAAATCTGTAAAAAACGGATTAAGGAAAGCATTATTATATCCTAAAAATCAAAATTGTTCATTGGAAACGTTACTGTATCGCTACCTTTTCTCATAAAGAAATTCTATCCACGCAACTACCAGAATGACACCAAGTATGATTTTCAATAATAAAATTCATACAAGACTAAATCTATTATTGCCTAAGAATATTCAAAGTTCAAAAAGTGCAGAGAAGCAAATTAAAAACTTCAAAGGAAAGCGCGAAGAAAGTTTTGTAGACTTTGGTGTAGAGATTATAAAAACCCTAATAGAAAAGTTTGGGTAGAATGTTTAAAAGATGAAGTTTTAAATAATAGGATTTATTATGGTAAACTTTTTCATGAAGCTTTAATTTGGAAAAGACATCTTAACCAGATTAGACGCAATTTATCTAATAATAAGGATTTTGATTTCGCTTCTGATAGAAATTTAGGTTGTTAGTTACCAGTTTCTACTGGAGAACTAATTTGTAAAAATATAAACCCGAATGTATGTGATACCGACTTGAATTTGCCTTCAACTGTGAATGAAAAATCGGGTTTGCCTGTACAAAATGAATTAGTCAAGGATAAGGCTAGAGGTAGGAAGGATAAGGCTAGTAGAATAGTACTTGTGATAGTACCTTGAAAAACCAGTGTCTAAGACATTTTCACCAACTCCTATAATTAAGGATAAAAAAGTAAATGTTAATGAGAAACCCAAACGCACTATAAAACCAGTGGTACGACTCAATTTATAAGGGGAGGTACTGTAGTATCGTGTCAATTACCGTATACACCGTGTTGTCGCGAAAATATGCCTTGACAGTTTTTGTAAAAAAGTGAGGTTAACAATAGAGTGGGTAGTTTTAAGATATAATCTATGGTATGACTGTACTTTTTGATAGAAGCGGGTCTTTTCCTGAGTTCTGAAATAAAAGTTGTTTAGAGCCCAGTTGTTTAATTGCACGTTATTACACGATCAATCATAAAGACATATATGAGAACGATGGTCTTATACGATGGTTTTATGTATTATTGAATTTTTGCCCTTGTCTATCTAAGTTAGGTGAACTGGTATTTGTGATAATGATAGTAAGTTTTACAAAACAACCGTAAAGGTATATGCCAAGTATTTATGCAACTGAATACTTCTGTATTATTTGTCACAGATATTGAACATCTTTACTGTGTTCCGTGTTCTCTTTATATAACTGATACATGTATGTTTTAACCTTAAGGGCCACTTTCACCAGAACAGAACTATAGGCTCGTTACCTGACTGATAGTAGATTGCAGCAGTAGTATAGCATTTCTTTCACCAGCCTTTATTGGCAGTTAGAGAAGAAGCAGTTAGCTAATTGTGAGGCGTTGCCATTTGAGCGAGAGTTCTTTGTTCCGTGGTCATTAAATCTCTGACTGTCAGTGAAAGAAGCAAAGTGTGCAGTGACAGTTCAAGAATTATGGAGGGTGATTTGAATCTTACTGAATGTTCCTCACATCATCGTAGTGTTCAAAATCTACAGAGTCTCTAGGAGAATTTGAAAAGGGGTACTAAAAAAGCAGTTGCCCATCAGAGTGCTGAGAATATTAGAACCGGTAAGTACTTTTTTTAAATTCTGTTACATTGTATAACTTGTTTGTAATTATTGCTTCATTGTTTTTAGGAGGAGGGCCTAGGAATTCGGTAGAAGATCCCTCAGAAATAGATTTGAGAATATTAGATATTATAAAGATGTCAGGCACAGGAATTGAGATAAAATTTGGAGGTGATACAGAAAGTCTTCGTTCAGAAATTGTAATTGTTGTTTATGTAATTGATGACACTAAAATCCCACTAGATATCCAAACGGTTGATATGGTGAGTTTAATATTTTGCAATATATAATTTTGTTTAATTGTTCTTTATAATATTTACAGCCCGGGTAGAAGAATAAATGGAATGATGTGGTACCTTATATGCTTTATCAAAGGAAGCCAGGTTCATTACGTGTTAGCCAAGCGGACAATACACCATCAACTTCTAACGAAGAGGAAATTTCAGGTGAACTCCATCATGCACATAAAAAAGTGTAGAGGCTGAACTGAAGTGGAGTAAAAATTGTAAACGAAGACTTTGAAAGATGACATCAGTCATCAAATGAAAGTTGCGAAACTTTGCAGTTTCGAAGCATCAATATGTTTTTTCAATGGAGCAATTCGAAATATTTTTGCTATATTTTACCTGGAGAACGTATTCTGATGTGGGTGCAGTTTACAGCACCTATTACTTGAGGTAATCTTACAATTTGATAGAAGTCCATATTCGTCCTACTTATTTCAGATGCTGTTCTCGGGAAAAATATATGCTCTCGGTACAGTAAGGCAATGGCTTCAGACACCCTATGGATAATTCTGTGAGCGGTTGACTCACCCACACCACTAAAATCACCTGCAGTGAGCCGAGTGCATCCTGTGGCATAGAACCTCAAGCACACTAAAAGCCGATTCATAGGTGAAACCGTATTGTTCATGCAATAAAAAATTTACTTTGAATGAT